TATTTTATTACATATAACTATAGCCTGGTATTTCGGATTTATTAATCCAAATAATCTTAAGAAACATAGTATTAGATAGCCTGGTATATATTGTTGCATGTCAAAGATATATAAAAGAGAAAAGTGTATCCTATTGTTTGATCTATTAAGTAGATCACGGACTTAAAATGATCCAATCGGAAGTTTGTAAGTTTACCCAATGCATAATCTAATTTTTCAGTCAATAATTCCAATGATTTCATTAATAAGGTTAATGGTATGTAGTTGCAAAAGGGTGATATTGTAATCTTTTATTTCTGTTCATTGACGCTATGTTGACTAAAAATAATAGCAAAGTTTTGAAACCTGATCTAATCTTATATAAGTAGATTCAAATATTTAAAATTTCTCGCTTAAGGAAGGGATACTAAGTCGCTGGACTTATGCTTGAATATAATTATTAAATTAGTAAAGAAAATGTTATTGTCATTTTCATATATTTATTCATATATGCATTGCCTTTTTTTCTCAGATTCCTTCAATACATGCTCACCAAAAGCATTCATCTGAGGATTTCACGACATATCATCTTCGAATTAATTGATATGTTCCCTTCCGAATTAATTGATGTTCCCCAAAATTGTCAACTGCTCACCTCAAAACTCATAATTTACCAACTAATTTAAACTTAATGCTTACGAGCTGGAACTGCAGGATATCTATTGCCTCTTCTCGAACAACTTGCAGTATGTTGATGTCCATGAATACTTGCGCCAGTGCTTCGGAATCCTGCACCAGATACACCTGGGGGTTTGGGTGCGTCTTGTTGTTCTGGAGGCGGAGGTGGTGCAGATGTATCTTGAGGTCTACAGAGACCCTCATCCTAGAATGTTACAATTTTGTATTAACATTAGATTTCCAGTAAAATAATTATAGTGCAGCTCATATAGGAACTGTCTAAGTATGAAGAAGATAGAAGAGTGCCCGGCCATAGCCAGAGGTCAAATGATTTTCCCAAATATTCTGATTTAAATTTGTTTACTATAAAATCAAACAATTTGTTTCACAAATTGAAAAACTGTCAGAGCGAGACCAAAACGAAATGAACTCGAAATGGATTCCTTTACTTTTATTTTTGAAAATGTTTTTTTTTTTTTTTAATTTGCACGATTTTTATAACATATGTTTATAATTAGTTAGAACAAATAGAGAAAAATCCCTTTTATGTCAAATATATAAATCTCTTTACATTTGTATTTAAAATTGGACATATTTCATTAAAGGTAATTGTCCCACAAATGAAGCAAGGCTAACAGTTTTTGTGCCCTAGAACGTACAAGACTGTCAGCACGGTCTTGTATTAATCCATATTTTCCCAATCATACAATTTTTTGATGATGCTAGATTTTGCCTAAATGGATTTGTTAACCGATACAACTATCAATCAATATTTATCGGATATAAATCCTCGCTGGCTGGAATAATGCCATATTCGATAGAAAAACAATTATTTCGGCTAAAGTTATTGAAAAGCACATTATAGACTCTATAGGCAAAAAAAAACCTCATTGTAAATGGTTATTTAGATCGTACCCGTAATCAAGTTGTTCCAGCGGTTGCAGTTTTATTTTTAAAGAAAGAGGAAGAATAACTATCCATTGAGACGGATCGGCAGAAATGGATGAATTCGCTGCCCACCGCGTTCGCCAGACCTATATCCGCTTGACTTCTTTTTTATGGATTCTTAAAATCCGTAGTTTATAAAAACAACTCGCTAATTTGGACAACTTAGAGAGTAAGATTCGTGCAGCCCTTCAGAGAATCATACATAACCTGCGAAATTATTAGGATACTGTCAAGTCTCTGAACGTTGTCATAAGTAAAAACCAACAGACACAGAAATTAGACCAATGTGACCACTGGCCTACGATAATATTATTTAAATGTATTTTTTAACTTACCATTAGCACTGCGAACATTACAATAATTGAAAGAACTACTATGAACTTATTCATTTTGTATCTTCTCATCTTCTGCAATGAATATCATTCTTTTGTGGGCATTATATACCAACAAAATTCAAAAAAAAAATGTAGGATATTGTTGCATGTTATAAAAATATGTCTCGTTTTTATACATCCGTGATTTTATATGCAGTTTTTTAGACGTGTACTTGTAATAATTATAATGATACATCCATTTTTGTAGTTATGCTTATGTATCATGTTTAACAATTTGTCTGTTGAAAATACTATTTATTTTCAGTTGTTCATCCTCTGTGTTCTGTGTGGCGAAAAAAAAATATCAGTCTATTAAATGTAATGTTATTATTTTTGTTGTAGATACTAAAATTAGAAAACAATCCATTTTTTACAAAATTCTTTATTACTACTACCGGTTTCATGAATTATAGTTTATTTCACATATTCAGGCAGCAAGACTGTAATAATAGGAATTTTCTTAATATCTACACATTCCTATTGTTGTAGTATTTTGCGTAAAGAAATGAGTACCATTTCATGCTCGTTATACAATATATGGTGTGTCCATAAAGTATGGAATAAATTCATTATTCCAAAAATATTTAGGAGAAATCCTCGGACACGTCGATTTTTATTTTCAATTGCGCACTTTATGCTTTATTTTTTTGGTTATAACATTATCACTGTTTCCGTTATGACGTCATCGATATTCTTTTTAAATAGAATACCCCGTTTATTTCTTCATTTTTGGATTCTGCTTCAACAGCAAATTCCAAATATGTATCACACTTAGGATCCAAAATTTGGAAGATACGGCCATTTACTCCAGTAGTTGTGGTTTCTCAATAATTGTTGTCGATTTATTTTAATTTAAAACATGAGTGTATCTATAAAGCAGAGAATTGAAATTCTTACGATGATTGAGTATGGTGATAGGGTGCGAACTCAACAAGAAATATGTAATTTATTTAATAAAATATCCAAAACGACCTAAAACTCAATCGACAGTGAGAAAAATTAAAAAAAAATTGAGAGTCTGGTACGATGGAAGATTTGCCCAAAACAGGTCGCCCAGGTGTTGAAGAGGATGTAAAATTAAATATTTTATTGGCTGTTGAAGAAAATCCACATACCAGCGTTCACCAGGTTAGTGGCGATTATGATGTTACAAAAACGTCAATACATACAGTATTAAAATTAGATAAATGGCATCCCTTTAAGATTGAGCTTGTGCAAGAACTAAGCGATGATGATCCAGATCGGAGGATATAATTTTGTGAAACAATGATGAATATGTGCAATGGTGATCCGTTTTCTCCGATGAATGCACTTTCAAATTAAATGATGAAGTGAATCGTCAGAATTGTTGATAATGGGTAAGGGAAAACCCTCGATGAATGCGGGAGCAAAGTACACACAGTATCCACAAGATGTGGACCCGTCGAATGGCCACCAAGGTCACCGGACCTCAATCCTTAGATTATTTTTTGTGGAGCCATCTAAAAAACTTAGCTTATAAACCCAAACCGGAAAACATTGCTGAATTAAAAGATATAATTAGAACAGAAATAAACAACATTTCTCAGGAAACTAAAAACAAGGTTCATCAAACCCTTTATTCCTTGTTTAGGGTACTGTCAGCTACAACAAAGGAGTACAGGTCAAACATTTACTATACATTGTTTTTATTATTAACAAACCGTTAGTTCTGGTGACTATTATTTGTTCAAACAAAACATGAAAAAATTAATAAATTCTTCCCTATGTGTGATACATTTTTGGAATTAGTCGTTGATTCAGAGTCCAAAATGAGAAATATACAGGGTGTTCCATTTAAAAACTATCGATGACGTCATAACAGAAACAGTGATGACGTCATAACAAAAAATAGAGGATGATGAAATCGATGTGTCCGAGGATTTTTCTAAATATTTTTGGTTTAAGAAATAATGAGTTTATTCCATACTTTACTGACACTGTACCGTTAAATACTGTTGATACGCCTGTATTTTATACAATGGGTACAGGATCAAACTAGACAGGAGAAACAAGGAGATAATTTTCCGGAGCTTCGTGTAATCAAGACGCTTGGTCGTCATTCACCTGAGATTGTTATTATCAATAAAATTAACAATGAACAACAATGACATATATTTTTTACTAACACTGACGTAGATTCCACAAGTACGTTTCGCCAACCAAGTTGGCATCATCTGGAGATGATTAAAACTACACTTATATTAATAACGTTGTCTATTTATACTATCTGTCGCTGTTCGATGACCTGAGTGCAACTAGTTGCGAATACATCACCGTAACTCGAGTTATTTTAATAGGCCTTCTGTCACTATTTCTACTATTTTTACATTTGGTAATTTCTAAGCTAAGCAAATGATTCTAGCTTTCTACTATTTGTTAGGTTTCTAATTAATTTTAAATTGCTAATCTTATGGCTCATCTCAAGTAATAATAATAATAATATTGATGATACCAATAAAAAACAAATCAAATTAATTCAGTAACAAAAACATTCTACATGCAGTGAATAGCATAAAATAAACTCTAATAATAAAACAAAAGCATTCTCTCTGGTACTGGTAACGAGTTAATTACAAGCTATGACAAAATCAAACGTTGCAAATGCAACCGCCGACCGCTACGCCATATGATGTGACCGTGGACAGAAAATGCAAACAGTGTTTCCGGCACAAGAATAAGTAACTTGTTACTTATCCTTGTGTTTCCGGGTTGCCGGATGCTTCATTGCTACGTTAACAAAATATGATCAGCGAAGAAGAGATATTTATCATCGGTTAGATATACCAAGAGTCAAATATTAGTTTCGGATTTACATTATGGTTTTCGAAGGAAGATACATGCCGTCTTCCGCATTAGTTGTGGAGGACAGAGGACTTTTAAGTCGAAAGGGCTGGAGGACGGTTGGTAACTCTACTTAAGGCCTTCTGAAGTAATGATTATTCTATAAGTAAGAAAAAGTAAATAACTATATCCTTAATCAATACTCATTCATTTCTATCAGGGTCATGGTAGCCGAGTAGGTAAAGCGCTTGTAGCTATTTATTCTGTACCAAAGGTCGATGGTTCGATTCCATCCTGGCACAAGTTAGAAATTTTATTTGTTATGTGTTTTGTACTAAGATGGGAGAGGGAATTGTTGATGCCCTAGATTTAGTTGAACTCAACAATAAACTGTAGGCCTCGTCGCTCTATACCTAACATAAAATCCTAGGAATTTCAGGGGGGTGATCTCGTGACTTGAGTTGTGGTTAGGAAAATATTCAGGAACTAGTTATTATCACTTATGAAGAAGTTAGTAATTGGTGACAACGGAACACTTTAATTCTAAAAGAGAAAAATAATTCTCATTAACTTTTATGTTTAAAAACTTCTACCCAGAAATTATCATTTAGCATTCATATTGAACACATTTGTAATCAATTAAATAAAAGTTATTGTGCAATACTACAAACCAATGGGATTCAAATCAGGAGAATGCTGTGGAAGAGGATCGTGATCAATTCCGTGAGTTTCAAGGACGTTGAATACTTGCTGAGTACTGTTGATTTCAATAAAAACTGGTACACTTTCTTTAAGCTATGTAATTCATTCGTTCTTTGATTGATATTAATAATCTTACAAATGTCACTTTGACGTTAATCAGTGGCGTCATTATTAAAAATGGTTCGACATCTAACAGATATTCAAAAATTTCGAATTGTTTCTAAAATTGAAGATGGTTGGTCCATAAGAAGATTTGCTGCTGAATACAATGTGAGTAAAACCACGATAATGAGTGTTAAAAAACAATGGGAAACAACCAAACGATATCCCGTAAAGTTGGTTCCGGTAGGCCCAGAAAGAGCAATAATCAAGAAGATGAAAATCTTATAAATTACCTAATAGAAAACCCTTTTCAGACTGCAGTAAATGCAATTTCAAAGACAAATTTCCCTGCTTCGGTATCTACTGCTTGCAGAAGAATAAAACTACAAAGCGACTTGAAGAGTTGTTCAGCGGCTAAAAAATACAAACTTTCAGAATAAAAGAAGCAGGGTAGGATTATTTTTGCACTCAACTATATAATCAATGATGAAAACTTCTGGGGACAAGTTGTCTTTTCTGACGAAAAGGTTTTTAAATCCTGTAACGATGGACATGTTCGCGTATATAGGCCTCCTTCCACTAGATACGACGAAAAATATACTTTCGATCCACAAATATCAGGAAGGTTTTCAGACAATGTCTGGGCTTGGATGAGCCTAAATGGGTTAGGTGTGTATTGGAACAGTGGTGGTCATCTCAATTCCATTAAATATATTGAAATATTAGACAATATTATGTTGCCGTCAGTAATAGAGGTGTTTCCGGAAAATAACTTTATTTTCCAACAGGACAACTGCTCCATACATATGGCCCATCGTGTCAGGCAATGGTTTCTTAATAAAAACATAGAGTTGTTACCGTGGCCATCTAAAAGTCCGGATTTAAATCCAATTGAAAATGATTGGGACTAATGGTGAAACATATAAGAAAATTAAATAACCATCCAAATAATGCCCAAGAATTGGAAGGGATAATTGAAGACGCTTGGGAGAACTTGTCGCAAGAAGTTGACCTTGCAAGAAATCTGATTTTTTGTCCATGCCTGCAAGACTTCAGGCAGTTTTGGATGCTAATGGAGCAATGACAAAATATTAGTTAATTCTGTATTACGTAATTGAAGTTCATTTATTTTATTTTTTTATTGTATTTAGTATGTTCAGTTTGCATTGTTTACATTTTTTTTAATCTCAAATGGTATTTTTGTGTTCTTATTTTAAAAATAGAATTATCATTATTCAGTTAGTATTTTAATTACAACCATTAGTAGAATTATCTGTAACAAATATTATTTTTTTAAACAATAATATGGCAGGCTTGAAAATGTTTTGAAAAAGTTATTTTCTAATTATTTTTTAAAATTCCATTTGAATACAATAAAAGATAAAGGTTTAATAAGTTTAAAAACACAAAGAAAACCGATCTCCTCCAAAAAACCCAGGTCCTCTTCTCCACCCCCCTCTCGACATGCCTGGCCAGCCCTATTTACAGACATATGCACACAACTAAACTATTAAGATTTTCGATTACAAGAGTTGTACCAGTTTTTTTTGAAATCAAGTGTACGATGGGAGCGAGTATTATCATCAACAAAAATAAAATTTTCTCCAATAACAGCTTGAAAAGTCGTCACAATATTACTGATAATATCATTGGCATAGATTTATCGAGTCAAGGTCCTCCTGCAGATATAGAGATCGGAAATTGGTACCACTTTATGTATATTTATACATTATATGTAATTACAGGTGTGTGCGTGTGTGTGCGTGTCTACGAAGTATTTATTGCTTGTTTTTCTCTTTGATTTTATATATTAAAAAGTTTTACTGTGTGGTTTATTTGCTAATGATATTTAATTTTGTCATGATATGACTTGCCATGTATTCAATGTTTTAAAAATAATTAACAAAGTATTTGATTATTATATAGCTTTAATACTTTTCTTCAAAAGAAAAGTCTGTCATAAAAGTTAAACTGTATGAATTTTAACACAAATTCAACGATTAATTCAATTCATTTATTAGAACCTTTTTTGAACAAGGACTTCTCAGATTAAGATACTTACGTTTTTTTAACTTGAAAAAGTTACATGTTTAGATTACCATAAATTGACTTAATATTGTCACATGTTTGCTATCCACGCAAACACCTCAAATAGTAGATTCGTTGATTGAAAGTCCAGGTAACACTTCCTCATTATTTTATTAACTAATTAATATATAACAACTTAATGAAGGACTTAACTATAATCATAATTAAACACTCTTAAACCACTACTTTAGTCTCTAAGTAATATCTTCTTTAACCGGTCGATTCCAAATTAAGACTGAGCTTCTGAATCCACCATGCGCCTTATATATTCTTTCATGTTTGCTCTAGAACTTTCTTGAATAATCGTGGCCATTCTCAAACACCTAGGCCCGGTTCTTCAATGCCTATTTAGCATATTCATCAATTAGTGTGAAATTAGTGAATTCTATTGGCCGAGAAGTCATTAACTGACAGATAGTTTAGCTAACCAAGCATTGAAAAATCGAACCTTGTAGTTCCATCTTTATAAGTCTAGAGTAATTTAGCTATTTAATTCGTTTTAATATTGATAGCGCCATCTCGGAGAACACCCCTGAAGCAGTAGTCTACAGTCCACAGAGTCCATTAGCGTAACAATATGTTTAAATAAATATTTCTGCGAAGGTCTCACATTGAACTAAGGAGCCTACACACTCACTTTTCATATTTCTGATTTCTGTGGTATCTATTAGGATTTTGGAACCACGTAAAATGTGAGATAATTTTTATGGAGATTAATCCTATAGTAGGTATGGCGTCGGTTGAGCCAGACAGTGACGTCACACACCTGGCGCCAGTCGTCAAGTAGGGGATCTGCATTACCGACAGTTCGGCCCCGGGAAATTCAAAATGTGCTGCTGCCACCAGACCTGTACAGCTTTTAAACAGATCTGTACAGCTTTTAAACAGATCTGTATAGCTTTTAAACAGATCTGTACAGCTTTTAAACAGGTCTGTATAGTTTTTAAACATGTCTGTTCAGATTTTAAACAGGTCTGTACAGTTTTTAAACAGGTCTGTTCAGATTTTAAACAGGTCTGTACAGCTTTTAAACAGGTTTTAAACAGACCTGTTTAAGACCTGTTTTAGAGTTGTACAGACCTGTTTAAAATCTGAACAGACCTGTTTAAAAACTGTACAGACCTGTTTAAAATCTGAACAGACCTGTTTAAAATCTGAACAGACCTGTTTAAAAACTGTACAGACATGTTTAAAAGCTGTACAGATCTGTTTAAAAGCTGTACAGGCCTGGTGGCAGCAGCACATTTTGAATTTCCCGGGGCCGAACTGTCGGTAATGCAAATCCCCTACTTGACGACTGGCGCCAGGTGTGTGACGTCACTGTCTGGCTCAACCGACAACATACCTACTTCCTATGTAAGTTATTCATATTGGTATAAAAACCAGTCTACTTCTTACAAACATCTTTTTTATTGCCACCGGTTTCATGAATTGTAATTATTTCACATCTTTACGACACGTAGTCTGCAAATCATACAAGTGAATAAATGGGCATTCCGTACGAGTTATGCACTAGGTACTTATAATTTTCTACAACTGGGTTTGTTATTCTTTTAAATTCAAAAAACGTTTGACAGCGCAGCTAATTTATATTTTACTTAAGTCGTGTTGCTATGACTACTATTCCAAAATCTGGATTTAATTGTACCTGAATTATAATTTGTTGCACAATATTCTTATTGTGTACATGTTGCTGTAGCAACTAGAGGGAAATAAAGTCGTATACAATGTACTAGATTTAATAATCAATATGACACATGTAATGAGAAGATTTCTTATTGTTGGTAGTAGTAGAAAAAATACTTGTAATTCAAGGGTCAGTAAAAGAAATTTGCTGCCTTAGTTAATTATGTGTTTTATTATTTTTAATACGTTATTAATATTTAAAGTTATTTCATGGTATCTGCCACATCTACTCCGTTGCCGTTGTCCTCTGAATCTGGTGTAGCTGGAAAAATTAAAAAGAATTTCAGTTCAAATTCTAAATGAAACAATAATATTTTATTACAAATAAATATAGCCTGGTATTTCGGATTTACTAATCCAAATAATCTTAAGACAGAAAGAGAATATTACTTGGTATGTTTTGTATTGCATGACAAATATCAAAAAGTGCATCCTATTGTTTGAGCTATTAGATGAGGGACTGAAAACGATCCAATAGGGAGTTTGTAAGTTTACTCAATGCGTAATCTAATTTTTCAGTCAATAATTCCAATGATTTCTGTAGTTACAAAAAGGGTGACATTGTAATATCTTTCTTTTTTGTCCATTAACACTATATAAACTGAAAATAATGGCATAGTTTTGAAGTTAATGTAGTCTTCTTTCTATAAATAGATTAAAATATTTAAAAGTTCTCTCTTAAGGACTTAAGAGCGCTCCGGAGTCAATAGGTAACTCACCATAC